AGGTTGTTAATGAGTCTTCCTCCAATCCTGATACCACATTCTTCTTCATATAGCCCAGCTTCTCAGATCATTTGCTCAGCATACGGATTGAATAAGTATTAGAAAAGGATACAACACTGACACACACCCTTCCTGATTTTAAACTGTGCAATATCCCCTTGTGCCATTCAAATAACTGCCTCATGGTCTATGTACAGGTCCCTCATGAGCACAATTAAGTGTTCTGGAATTCCCATTCTTTGCAAGCTATCCATAATTTGTTATGATCCACACAGTTGAATGCTTTTGCATAGTCAATGAAAAACAGGTAAACATCTTTCTGGTATTCTTTCCTTTCAGCCAAGATTCTGTCTGACAAATGCAAAGATATCTCGCTTTCATCATCCTCTTCTAAATCTGGCTTGAATTTCTGGAATTTCCTGGTCAATACACTGTTACAACTCTTTTTGAATTATCTACAACAAAATTTTACTTGCATGTGATATTAATGGTATTGCTTAATAATTTCCACATTCTGTTGGATCACCTTTCTTTGGAATGAGCACAAATATGGATCTCTTCCAGTCAGTTGGCCAGGTCGCTGTCTTCCAAATTTCTTCACATAAATAAGTAAGCAGCTTCAGCATTGCATCTGTTTGTTGAAACACGTGAATGGATATTCCATCACTTCCTAGAGCACTGTTTTCACCAATTCCTTCAGTGCAGCTTGGACTTCTTCCTTCAGTACCATTGGTTTGATCATATGCTACTTCCTGAAATGATTGAACATCATCCAGTAGGCCTGTATTTTGAACAGTGTATCAATCTTTTCCCTGAGCATTCTATACAACAGAGGCCAATGCCTAGTTAAGACACACAATCAACACTCAGAGAACAATAATTTTTTCCATGATACACACATTTCAATCTGAGACATTCAGATAGATCTAGGCCAAGAGACATGACCCAGGGACATATTAAGGAATTCCCCAATCCCATACTCCTGTCTCTAACCACCAAGTATCAAAAATTTTTACTTAGGTTGGTTAAATCTACAATAGAGGCTCAGTATGACTCAGTAAATGCAGAACAAAGTAGTACAGCTCAAGTTTTCCAGCAGGAAGTAACACAACTCAAAGAACAGGCTAGTCAGCAAGCAGCTACTCAAGGTGCATACTCACTAGCAGCTGACAGGAACAATTAGCTAGACAAAGCAAGAGAAGAAAAACACTGGTAGGGATACTTATTGTCAAGACAACCTACTTGCTACGCCAGTTGTTGTGATCACCTTCTAGCATGGAATGGACCTCTTACTTCAAATTGATTTAAATGTTAGAACTAATGATGCAATACATTACATAACAAGAGGGCATAAAGAGATTTATTACCTTCATAATGAGGCTTTACAATGAAAGTAAGTCCAAAATGACCAGAAAGCAAGGAGTGACTGAGTTTGACATTCATTGTGAGTAAGAGGTGAGGTCAGGGTAAGGGCAGGCCGGGATTTGTGTTTTGAACTTTCCACCAGCACTAAAGGAGAGAGTGGGTGGACTTCCACCAGAGATAGAGCTAAAATGGCTTTTTTTTTTTTTTTCTCCTTTCTTTCCTACTAACACAGGAGCATCACCATTAGATACTTAGTTGAAGTTTATCTTCTATATTGATATTTTTAACATCAATGGGAACTCTTAGTGATTGCTGATGGGAGTGTGAATTAATAGTAAACAAACTGAAGAAAAATTCCATAATAAGCAAATGTGAAGTACTCATTCTTCACAACCCAGTAACTCCAGGAAATTCAGATTACAGGTAATACCCAGAAATCAAGGAGGCAATGACCAATATTCTTAGTCAAGAATGTGTCCTAATAGGCCTTCATCCCAAGCCTTACAGCTATTAACAACTCCACTCTTTTATTGTATGTATCAGCCATTTGGGTGGAAGAAGGAACAAGCTGATGCTAAAAAGAGTACCTTTGGGCTGTTTCTAGCTTTTTTCCACATCATGAACTCAGAATCATTTTACTTTTCCTCATTTCCCTTCTAGACAGAGCCTGGCCATTGGTGTGCCTTTTTATCGGAATTGTATTTCTTTGTTCCCATTGATCATCAAGGTCATTAGATCTTGGTCAAGATTATTTTAGTACACATGAAGAGATTTTCTCAAATCCAAATCCCAGTTGCCTGGCTTCTTATGCAAATTTATTTCACTTTCACTAAGTAACCAGCTCTTCACACCAAGACAGTGAGGTATTTTGTGATAAACAGCTAGACAAAACCATCTAGTATACATCCTAATTCCTCAACAATAAAACATATTTAGAAAATCGAAGGACTGCTCAAGTTTAGAAACAAAGATGATCATCTCTGCATCTGAATCACAAAAAAAAGGGGGAAATTTATACATTCTGTTTTATTAGGGCATTTGCAAGTCTGAATTTTAAAACTCATCAGTTCAGATAGAACTGATTGTGTTTATACCGAACTATTGAACCAGTTGCTAAACTATAGTGATAAGAAAGGAACTACATGGTTAAGAGAGAAATAAAAAGGACGTAATTTGACCTTTGTATATTTTCAGTGAGCTAAATCCATTACAGATTACAATCAGGAACCTCCTTCCAGCAACAGGACTTTGCACAGAAAGCTCAGACAAAGTTGTGTCAAACCAGTAAACTGTATACACTTGGATTTTCCATACTGAAATTTGTGACCAGAGTCTCTCTTCATCTATATATTCATCTGTGGCAAAAAAGAAGAAAGTCAGCATGAGTACCAAAGACAAAGTAGGTATAATCTTCTCTATATCATATCATAGCATTATTTGTGTGCTGATCTGTTTACCAGCAGCTCATCACCCAGCTTGTCTTTGACTTATTAGAGTGAAAAGCTGTCTTAACCTTGGTACCTCTCCTCCTCCTTTCCATTTTCTTTCATTCTCTCTACTTGTATTCTTTCACTAGTTTTCCTGCCTTTAGTAAGCACTTGTCAGAGTCAAAGATGAAAAAGTAATCCTCTCCTTCAAGGGCCTTACAGAGAAACAGAAGTATGTCAAAGAATTATAAAAAGTGTAGAAGGGAAGCAGCTATCCCAAGCACAACTATTGGCTTCTTTTCCCAGAAAAAGAGGAAAAAGTAGAGTCAGGAAAAGCAGGAGGGTGTGGAAGATGTGGTTAATTGCCTCTTTGAACAACTCTATCCTTTGCTATGAGACCAGAACTGGATGATGCTCAGCTACCATTATTGAATATTTTGATCGAAGAATCCTGATAGAAGAATCCTGATCAAAAGGGGGAAATGCAGAACAGAGTTTCAATTTCTCATAGGCTCCAGATTTCCTGGATCCATGAACATTGGATGAACCCCTGAGACTATTGCCCTGAGATCATCTTTAATCCCCAAACAATAGGTTAGCTTAATTAGTTAAAAAAAAGTCTGCCTTGAGCATTATGTACTTTTAAGAGCTATCTATATGAGATCAAATTGACAACAGTAACTTGAAAGACTAGATAAGAACATTAAGGGATAGTGAATTTATGTTAATGGGGGAGGAACAACTCAGAAAAGGAGGGTAAAGATGGTTACACAACTTGAAGAATGTAATCAATATCACTAAATAACACATGTAGAAACTGTTGAATTGTGAATGTTTTGCTGTACACATTCTCAACAAAAACAAAATAATTGAAATTATATAATAAAAATAAGAGTATGCAAGATAGTAACAGAATGGGAGCCTAAAGCAAGAACCTTAACCCAGCTTGCCTTCCCAGAGGAGGTAGCAATTGAGGAAAAACTTACAGAAGAAACAAAAATTTACCAAGTATATAAAGAGAAGGATAGGCAGGCAGATGAAAGAACATGAGAAGAAATATGGAGGTAAGAAAAGTATCTCATGCAAGGATCTCCAGGATATTGTTTTTGGGTGGAGCGTAAAGTCTAAGGCAGAATGTGACATGAAATAGGGTTGACTGACAGGGAGAAGATCATGGAGAACATGTCTGTTGAGCCTCACAGATAAGTGGTAGCAATATTTTTTTTATGTCAGGGATTAACCTGATCAGGATGATAATTCTAATGGCAATGATAGAGAAGGTGTATTTGAAGATGGTGAGACAGAATCAGAGATAAAGCAGAAAACTTTTTTAATAGTCTGAGTGAAAGGCAATTATTACAGGAATGGAGAAGAGGAAATACATATTTTTAAAAAATCTAAATGGTAAGGGATGAGGGAGAGAAAAGAATATAGGCTAATTCCCAGATTTCTATGTTTGGTGAATGGATAGCTTTCATGGTCACTAATTTAAACAAAGAATCCCAAGGGAGAAGCACATTGTCTGGTATGTGTACTAAAGTAGGGGAAGAAAATGAGAGACTGTGAAAAATAAGTATATGTTCATGTGTTAACATGTCAAGATTGAAGTAAGGCTTTCACCCTGTATCTGTAAGATATTCAAAGAACAGATAGATCCATGATTTTAAAGTTTAGGAATAAGTCTGTCCTATACATACAGATTTTGAAAGTCATCTACCTAAAGGTGATGGATTAATCTATTAAAATGGTGAGACAACACAGGAAGAGAATTTAGAGTGAGAAGAGTGATAGGCTGAAATCAGAACCCCCAAGAGCTATCTTGACACCAAAGATATCTCCAACATTACCCAGTCAATGATCATCACCATTTAATGGATTGCAACAACTATATGGTCTCCATTCCTTGTTCCATAACTCATTCCTGCACCCCAAAAGCTGATTCTCTTCCATACGTAAGGTTACAAATGTTTCCCACACCACCAAGCTATTCCTACCCTAAAACATTTTCTTTAGGCAACTTCATTTATGCTACATCAAAAGTATGACATCTATGGTCTTGGTTGTTGGAATTTGCAAAACTAATTTGAACACATAAGTTGAGAATATAAGAAAAGCTTGTTTGTGGGTGGAGAGGCTACATACAGCATCTATTTAAACAATTTTTTTTTTTTACTGCTTAAGTGTACCACTAGCCTAAACCTACCAATAATGATTAATATAAGAATCCTCACACTCCCAAACCTAAGCAATTTATCTTTCTTTCCCCATTTTATTTTCCAGGTTATCAGGTGCAGAGCAGCTGTACTCTGGAAGCCAGATGCACCATTTTCCATTGAAGAGGTAGAAGTGGCCCCACCAAAGGCAAAGGAAGTTCGTATAAAGGTAAAAAAATTTTTAAAAAAATCACACAAAACATCAGAACTGTTCATGGTAAGTTATACATTCTTTTCAAAATGTTCAATTTAGGAAGAGAACTACATATTCTTCCACTTCCTTTTCATTAACAATTTCCATCAGTCTCTACACCAGCCAGAGAAAAGCTAGGCAGGTGTGGTAGTTCAGTTTGTGTGTCAACTTGGCTGGGCCTGGTTGAGTGGCTGGGCAGCTGGTGGTAGTTATTCCCCATGATGAGACTGGCAATCAACTCCATGGTGGGATCTACCACAAGCAGCTGAGTAGCTGCCTTTGGGATGTGGTCTGCTTCCTGTATATAAGGAGAAGCCTTGGGAATGGTCTCTAGCGAATGGCACTCTTGGACCCTGCATGTAGCTGTGTCATTGCTCAGCAGCCTGTTATACTCTGCCGACCTTGGGACTTACAATAGACTTAAATTAATGGCCTGCCATGTAGTTTAGTAACATTGGGACTGTGCCTTTTTACTTGTCAACTTTGGGGCCTCAGCAGCCAGCAGCTGTCTGAGTGAAGAAACACCTCTAGCTCCAGTGGGCCAGGAACAGGAGGCAGAGCTGGATCCCAAGGTTGAGGGGCTTTCACCCAGCCCCTAGAGTCTGGCACTTTGAACTTGGAGTTAAAGCCTCCAAATTGTAAGAATAAACTCCTATTTGTTGAGGCCATCCCATTTGTGGTATATTTCTGTCAGAGCAGCACTAGGTAACCAGAACAGCAGGTATAACACAACTGTGGTTCATGCCAACCCCAAGTGTACAAGAGTAGAACTGTACTCCATAGTTCATAGGGATTTCAATGGGTGATTTTTCAGAAGTACATATTCAGGCCTTTCGTCTAACATCTCTCTGGGTGCAATCAAACCTCCAAACTTTCAGTTAGCAGCTAAGCTAAATGCTCAAAGGATAAAACTCATATTTACTTACAGCTATTGTGACATAGGGAGCTCTGGTAGTGTAGTGCCTAAGGCATGTGACTGCTAAGCAGAAGGTTGGCGGTTCAAACCCACCAGCCAGTCCTCAGAAGGAAGGTTGGGCAATCTACTTCCATAGTGATACTGCCTTAGAAACCCAAGGAGGGGTCGCTATAAGTTGGGCCGACTCGATGGCACATAACAACAACAATTGTGACATAACCTGAAGGCTGGCGGTTCAAACCGAATGGCCACTCTTCAGAAAGCAGGTTGGGCAATCTACTTTGGTAGTGATACCACCTCAGAAACCCAAGGAGGGGTTTCTATGAGTTGGATCCAATTCCATGGCATTGAGTTTGGGTTTGTTTTGTTTGGGGGTGGGTATTGTGCTAATTAAAGGGAGCTCTGGTGGCCTAGTGCCTAAGACACTTGACTGCTAACCAGAAGGTTGGTGATTCAAACCCACCAGCCACTCCTCAGAAGGAAGATGGGGCAATCTACTTCCATAGTGATACTGCCTCAGAAACCCAAGAAGGGGTCATTATGAGTTGGAGATGACTCCATGGCACATAACAACAAAAACAACAACATACTAATTAAGTAGCTTTGGGCATAATACCTAAGGCATTTGACTGCTAACCAGAAAGTTGGTGGTTCAAACCCACCAGCCACTCCTCAGAAGGAAGACTGGGCAATCTACTTCAATAAAGATTTTCTGCCTCAGAAACCCAAAGGAGATCACTATAAGTTGGAACCGACTCCATAGCAGTGAGTTTGTTTTTTTATTGTACTAAATACCAATTAAAAAGCTTCCTGCCCAAAACCATATTTTCAACTGTACTTCTACATTTCTTCATGACTTTTAAGTTATCTTCGGATATGTTGAATGAAAAATTTGTTTGATGACAAATAAACAAAGTCTGAATCCTGAAAATAAATAAGGTTAGATCTAGAAGGAAACAGATTGTTGTTATTGTTGTGTTCAGTGGGTACATTTTGTAAAATCTGACTTCTAATGGACCTATGTGACAGAGTAGAACTACCTCACAGAATATTCTTTGCTGTAATCTTCACAAGAGCAGATTGTCAGGTCTTTCTCCTGCAGAGTCACTGGCTGGGTTTGAACCACCAATATTTTAGTTAGCAGTTGAGTGATTAATTACTGCACAACCAGGGCTCCTTGGAAGAGACCAGGGGATGTCTGTTATTTTACAGATGAGACATTCAAAGTTCTCCGTAGTTAAGTGACTGCCCAGTTCACACAGCTAGTTAGAAAACAAACTCAGATGTAAAGAGTTTTTCCCAGCCTTGTCAGTACATTAGGAATCACCTGGGACCTCACCCTGAAAGATTCTGATATTCTCATTTAATTGGCCTTGGGGTGCAGGAAGGGCAGCTGGGGCAGGAGGTATTTTTCAGTCTCTCCCAGATGATTCTAAAGGTAGCCACCAGGCAAGATACAGTTCACCTTTTTTAAAGTTCAGGGTTCTTTAACTGTTATTATTCTAATTATGGTAATGATGATAAAACCAAAACACCAAACTAACTGCCATAGAGTTGGTTCTGACTCATATAGCAACCCCCTATGGATTTCTGAGGTGGTAAATCTTTATGAATTAGATTTCTCCATCTTTCTTCCTTGGAGTAGCTGGTGGGTTTGAACCGCCAACCTTCTGGTTAGCAGTAAAATGCCTTAGGCATTGCACCACTAGATTGCCTTAATAATGATGATAAGTACTATTTTTTGAAATATTACACAAATAAAGTCATTTTATAAGAGAAGTTACTTACACAGTTCTTGTCCTCTTCTAAGAGCGTCTCCTCTGGCCTATATGCCCTGCTGTGTCAGTAATGAGCCCTCTGACTATATTCAATCACTCCCCACACAGAGGCACAATTCAGAGATGGACACTGACTCACAGACATCTGACCACCTACAAATTTGAACTCTTCAGTGGTGAACTTATTCATTGCAAATACCTTTTTTCAACACAAATGGCACCTATACACATGGACTTAGCCAGATGGGGTATACAAGAATCAGATTGACAATTCAAAATGGAGTCTCATCAGTAATCACCATGCTATTTCCCTCTAGCAGCTTAGTGCTAGAGGGAAAAACTAGGTATAGCAATTTGAATTAGGGATTTTGGTGCTCTGAACAGCTCACTGAATCAGAGTGCACCAAACACAAAAGAGTAGAATTAGAGGAAAGGCATAGGGAAAGAATTTAAGGACGATCTACCTGACGGAGGGTGGATGGGCAGCCAACAGAGGCCATTGGAAACTTCCCTGGGGGAGTCACTGACTGGCAGACGAGGGTGGCCACCTGAGATCTCCTTGGGCCGAGGAAGAAGACACCCTATATCAGCATACCAGTGACCACACCAACGTACCAGCAAACACCCCAAGCAACAACCTTCAGCACCTGATTTTATTGGTAACTTGGGTCGGCTAGGTGCAAACGGGTACACTCAGCATGACTGAAACCCAAGCAGAGAGCTCACTGGTGATCCAGGAGGGTGAGCCTGCTCCTCCCTCAGCAGATCACTTAGTGAGCTTGGGTCAGCTTGGGAGGCACTGAGAGGTCTGTGCTTGTCTTTGCCACTGTTATTGGGACCACAGATTACTAGCAGGCACTCTCCCGACTCCAATGCAGCTGAAATCGTATACATCTTTGGTGCCACAGGTGGGTGGTATCACAGACAAAATTCCGAGCTGTTCGCAGTCTGGGAGGGTTGGGCCAACGCTGCAAGCAGACGGGGTGGAAAGAGAGGAATCCGCAGCCAAGTGTGGACCCAGGAATTTGCCTGGGATCAGCTTTTTGGTGCCAAGGGGCCTCGGAAGCAGGGTCTTTGAGTGTGTCTGAGCTTGGCAGAAAGTGGCAACACCCTAACAACAGGAATCTTTCCTGAAATTGAGCCTCAGGCTTGTAAATAACAGTACAACGTCATGAGTAGCAGCCCACTCAAAGCCCTAGAAATCAACTCTAGCAACAGCAAGCTTTCCTTATTCTGCTCCTACCTTCTCCTCCAATATTTTCACTCATTCAATAGAAGAAACCATATTCAGCCAATTACCATAAAACCCCCCAGTTCAAATTTTAAACCCTCTTTACGACAAACAGAAATACATAACCACATTCCACACAGTGATTCCACCATCACAAAGAAAACTGCAGAGCAACCCAGCATATCTGAATCATTAATAAAATAAAATACACCAGCTTCACCTTTTCAAAATATTAAACCATAAAACCAAGAAAAAACAAATCAACATGTAACCAGCAGTTAATGACAACCTCAAAATATCTAGGAAACAGCAGGCAACCTCAAATCAAACAAAAAACAGACAAGGCATTAGAAGCAAAACCACAAACAAAGGTCTCATTATACATGGAGGAAGAGGAGGCAATAGAATTATCTGAGAAGGAATTTAGAAGGTATGTTTATAGAGCTATACAAGAGCCTAAGGAAACCCCAAACAGAAACAAGGACAACACAGACAGGTCCCTGGAGGAACTCAGGAAAATCATTGAGGAACAGAATATTAAAGAATTGTATGTGATGACATGAGATGAAACAATATAAGACTCATTGGAATTCCAGAACGAGAAGAGGGGAAAAAGACTACCGAGAAAATTGTGGAAGACCTGCTAACAGAACACTTTCCCCATGCCATGAAGGAAGAAAAGATATTTGTCCAAGAAGCTCATAGAACCCCACACAAGATAGATCCCAAAAGAAAAACACTGAGGCATATTATAATCAAACTTTCCAAAACCAAAGACAAAGAAAGAATTTTGAGAGCTTCCCAGGAAAAAGGAAATATTACTTATAATAATCAAACAGTTAGGCTGAGCTCCAATTACTCAGCAGAAACCATGCAGGCAAGAAGGCAATGGGATGGCATATATAAAACTCTGAAGGAAAAGAACTTCCAACCAAGAATCGTATATTCAGCCAAATTATCCATCAAATATGGGGGTGAAATCAAGGCATTCTCAGATAAACAGAAATTAAGAGACTTTGTGAAAACCAGACTAACCCTACAAGAAATGCTT